GCACTCTAATTGTTCTCAATTGCGGATATTTAAATGTCTGTTAGAATTATGTGTCATTGAGGAAGAAAAGAATTTTCCCTACATATGGCTTTGTTGTGTGCAGAAATTGCACCTTCTCTGTAAGAAGAATGAGCTGACCCTCTTGAGAACCTTCTAGATACAAGACCACGGGCCCATCTCATTATACCCTCCCTCCATCCTACCAGGTTTCCTTCGTTATTAGAAGAGGCAAGTGAAGGACAGAAATATTAGTTTGTCTGGGGTTGCACAGCTAGTAAGTGGCATAGCCATAATGTCAACCTAAGTCTGTTTGACACCAAAGCTTTCTTAATTTTCTGCTACAACAAACTGTCCCTACTTATGTTTGCATTGTCTAGACCTATTATCACTTAAAATATGTGTATTTTTAAGTTTAGAAGGCACAACTCTAAAATTCATATAGAGTTGAGTTAATTAAAGCTAAATAAACCATATAATATTCTAATCAAAATTTAACTTGTTAAATTGTTTTAGTGATTAAAACACTCAAACATCCGTTCATTCTGCGAAAAAGATGTTGTAGTCCTCCTATGTTTCAGGTGTTTTTCTATAGATGCCCGGTATTAAAAAATGAGTCAGAGCTCGTCTTAAATAGCTCACTTTGGCACGAGGGCTCTGAAGGAGTAATTAAACTCCTGATTTCCAGGTGCATGGTTAACAGTCATTTCACAGAGGACATGTGTCTGAAATGGGGTGTGGGCATATTCATGTGTGCAGGATGTTCAGGTTTGTCCTTTGTATGCTTTTCACGGCTGCAGGAAAGGAGCTCAGAATGCTTGTGTGTTTGAGTGGTTATTCTGTGTATTCTCCTTTTACATTGAGAGGTCCTTATGTGATTGTCCTAAGACTGCCATTTAACATGGGGAATACTGTCTAGTTCTAGTGTAATAAACAATGCACACCTTAAAGGAATTATGTAATCTGACCTATGTTGGTAGTTAAGCGCTTGACTGCTAACTGAAAGGTGGGTAGGTGGAACCCACCAGCTGCTATGAGGGAGAAAGATGTGGCACTCTGCTTCCATAAAGATTTATAGCCTTGGAAACCTTGTGGGGCAGTTCTACTCAGTCCTGTAGAGTCGCTATGAGTCAGAATCAACTCGATAGCAATGGATATGTTAGTTAAAAATAATAATAATAATAACATGGCAACTTAGCCATTAAATCAAGAAACAGAAGAGAAATTACAGTGATCAGAGTTGCTGAGGTTTTCTTCTTTGAATTTCTTTATAGCTGTAGAGAATGTACTCCAGCCAAAAAAAGAAAAAATTTGCTATATGTTGAAATTTAAAAGTTGTGGCCAATTTGCATTCCTAGACATTTTCAATTACTAGAGAAGATGACTCATTTTCTCTACTTTGTCTGAAAACATAACTGTAGAAGGAAAGTGATATGGTGGAAGTCAGGTGACAAGTAAATCAAAAGATCCAGTATGAATTAGTTCTGCAGAGTAAGAGGAAAAGTCCAGAAATGATGGTTTGTGTAATTACTTTTCTTGCTTTTTCACCTAAGAGACAGATAGATGCGTTCAAATCCAGATAGATGTGTTCAAATCCTGATGTTGACACTGTCTTTATCTTAAATTGAAAGTAGCACTGTCTACCTCTTCCAGTAGTTATGAAGATTAAATGTCAATATAAATTTTAAAACACACTGCATATAAAACAAACAAACAAAAAAAAAAAGAACCCATTGCTGTTGAGTTGATTCCGACTCATAGTGACCCTATAGGACAGAGTAGAACTGCCCCGTAGGGTTTTCAAGGAGCGGCTGGTGGATACAAACTGCTGACCTTTTGCTTGGCAGCCGAGCTGTTAACCATTGTGCTACCAGGACTCCACTGCATATAGTATTTAATAAATACTAATTATAAAAGTATAAAAGAATGAGACACAGATATGTCCATTATGAAAACATACCTCTTTCTGTTTTCTAAATTAAGATATGAGGAACCCTGGTGGCACAGTGGTTTAAGAGCTTGGCTGCTAACCAGAAGGTCAGCAGTTCAGATCTACCACCGGCTCCTCGGAAACCCTATGGGGCAGTTCTCCCATGTCCTATAGGGTCACTATGAGTTGGAATCGACTCATTGGCAGCAGGTTTCAGTTTTCTGGTTAAATTAACATGTGAGCCTTTGTTTTAAAATTATAGGATTTTTTTTAATGTGATGTTTTTCCAAAGATAGAAAATTGAGCATTACGTAAATACTTTACCTTATGAAGTCTCCACTGCATTAGCATGGATAATGGGGAATTGCCTGTCATTACATGCTGAAAATAAATATTTTCAATTGTATTGACACCCAGGTGATTTAATTATATTAAGATGACTGAAACCAGCACATTGAAAACCTCATCGTTTAAAATATTTTCACAAAAAAATCATTTTTAAATATCGTGTTTTTACATTTTGCTGTAATTTTTATGAATAACATGCTTATGACTCAAAAAAGAAAACTGCTCTGTAAGATAAGTGTATTTTTTAAATTTCTTACGATGAAGTAATTGAAAATACAAAGTCCTGATGCTACTAAACTCATTTTGAAAAGATGGATAATGGAGTTCTTTTTTTGCTTTCAGATTTTCAGACGATGCTGGTTGGTTTTCAAGAAGGCTTCCAGCAAAGGACCCAGAAGGCTAGAAAAATTTCCAGATGAAAAGGCAGCTTATTTCAGAAACTTTCATAAGGTAAGTCACCATCTTTGGAGTCCCTGGGGACCCTTGACAGCAACTTCTGGAGACCTTTCTGTTGATCAGTTAAATCTGCAGAGGCAAAAATGCGTGGCCAGGATAAAATACCCCTGTGCAGATAAAATGTAAAAGTTATTTTTCTCTTTTATTTTAATCATCTGCTGTAAATGCCAGTGGTACCTCTGAAAAATGAAGGATTCATTTTTATTGCTACTTTGCAAAATGAGATGACTCATAACTCAACCAGATCATTTTCCAAGGTGCTGAGTAAGCATTTTCCCTCTGTTCGGGTTAATTGTGCGTTTGTTACTTTGATTTAAACTGTGGGCCATATTTAGGAGATCAAACCTGGAGATTGGATTTAGCAGTGCTAATGACAATCTGAAGGTATATGGCATGTGCTGTTTCTGTCAGCTCTTTAACAAGGAAGGAAAGGATCATCATAACGCTGACATGTACAGATGTGGCATAAATTCTACGAATGAAATGATCAGTTTCCTAAGAATTAAAATAATGTAAAAAAAACCCTAAAATGATCCTAAATGTATTGCTGATGACAGCATCAAAGCACAGTTAAGTATTTTGTAGTAATATGGAGAACCATGATCAGAACTCAGAACAGTAGAATAGTATTGCTTGTTGGTAGAATGCCTGAAAAAACTCAGTGAAGATTCTAATTCCACACTGACAGTAATATAGAATAAGTTACCCTGAATAATGTAGTGAATTTGTGGAATTTTATTTAATGTGATATACAGTTCTAATTTCTCCTTTTATTAAAGACAGACTATTTGACAGTAATTTGCTAACCAATCCTATTAACCAATAGCTAGCAATCATTTTTTTTTTTTAAATTATGTTTGAACTTGGACCCAGAGGGGTTGAGATTTGAGTTTCTGTAACTCTCTATTAAGGAGCCCTGGTGGTGAAGTGGTTAAGCGTTCAGTGGCTATTTGAAAGGTTGGTGGTTTGAACCCACCAGTGGCTCCACGGGAGAAAGATGTGGCAGTCTGCTTCCCTAAAGATTACAGCCTGGGAAGCCCTATGGGGAAGTTCTACTCTGTCCTGTATGGTCACTGTGAGTCAGAATCGACTTGACAGCAATGGGTAACTCCCTATTAAGTATTCTGTATAGTAGATTTAATATAAATTTACTGCCAAAGAATCTAAGTTGAAGTTCCCACCCTGTCACTTACTAGCTCATAAATGTTTGGGTTTCTCACAAGTACATGGGTGTTAACACTGCTATATTCCACATCTGTTTTGAGAATTATGTGATGTAGCATATCAGAAATAACCAGGAAAATGCTTCCTGTCCCAACTAAATGAAAAATTATTTTAAGCCTTAAGTTTTACTAGTATCTTTTGGGTTATGATTATGACTATGGCAATCATTTTAACCTGATTCAATGAGGAGCTGCCAGGTTGTGAAAAGTGATTTTGTGGCATAGAGTTTGTGAGAAAAAAAATTGAAGGTTGGGTGTAACACATGTTCTGTAGGTCCATGACCAAAGCCCCTCTGGTAACAGTGATTTCCTGCTGGCCAGCGACGTATACTGGTCAGATGCCCTCTACCCAACACACCTTGGTTTATTTCTACTAGCAGATAAAACAGGCGCAAGGAGTTGTTATATCTTAGTTTGGAACTGAGGCATTGAATGGTTCTGTGGTAGAATTCTCACTTTCCATGTGGGTGACCCAGATGTGATTCCTGGCCATTTCACCTCATGTACAGCCACCACCTGTCTGTCATTAGAAGCTTGCGTCTTGCAATGATGTTGAACAGGTTTTAGTGGAGCTTCTAGACTAAGACTGGAA